TTGGCTCTTGTTGTATGTTTTAGCGTTAAATTCGATATCAGCAACAAGGAGTTTTGGTTAACATTACAATATCAAACAAAATAGATTCTATTTTTGACATCAACAGTCCCCGTTACTACAAATATGTGCAATTTACACACCTACCACTCTGTTATTGACAAAGGAGGGTTTTCTAAAGCCCACTGTTGTTTCGGCAAATAAATTTCGATTGTTGAGGAAATATGACGTGTACGGTCGAGCCAACTGGAAATTGATCAACTATGTTCGATCACTAGCAAAAGCTGCCACAGAAGCTGTTACTTAGTAATTCTCCGCATTAAATTATTATGTTCTGCCTAACCATAGTAAACCTAAAGAAGCTCAGAATAGTCTACATATTTACCATTTTATCAACATGACAATAATTATCGCCTGAAAGGATTGGCTGTTATAATAGTAATTAGTATGAAATATGACAATGAAATACCAGCCATCTATCTTATATATTCGTGGACCATCATTATCGTCTTGTATTGTATTTATTTTCTATACAAATGAAACATATTGTGTAGTTACAGAAGCCAGTAAAGTGTTTAATACAGCCACCTGTTCTATTCTCGTGTGTCATATTTATTATTATAGCTTCTCAATGTTCTTGATATACCAATGAGATCATTAATAACTTCGATGTCAGCCTTTTTCTACAAGAAAATCATTGCACTCTGATATTCACAGAATAATTTTACATGTTTTTTTTTCCCTGGTTAGGTTTTCCTTGACAAAATTAGATTCTAAAACAATTATTCATACTGAGCAATCAAATGATCATTTTCAATCTTGGTGAAAACATAGAAGGAAACAAATTGATGTTTAACTTAAAGGGAAATCTTTCTCTGTAAGAGCTTCTTCGTTTGATTCAACTGAAAATTTTCTGCCTCGTCAGTTCAGAACCCATATATGTCAGAATAATACTGCAAATGTGAAAACCAGGGTTGGCAAGTTTTGTCCATAGCAGTTTTAACCGGCCAGTTTCTCTGGTTAAAACCGTTCCGTCCAAAACCTCTCGAGTGAACAAAAGGGTTAAAAGTGGTCAAAACTAACTAAAACCACACATTGTGGAAATTATACACAGTTTTTTTCTTTAATCCAATGTATTTAATCATATACAATAATTTCCAAGTTATAATTGTTATATATGCAGTATGTACATACAGATAGTATAATGAAAATTATATGAACTCGCAGACTCAAATAATAATATAATACATAGTTAAATTACATATAGATACTAAGATAGCTAGCCAGGCAAGGTAATATACACCAACTGGTAGCTTTGATTTTAAATGAAAATATTAACCAGTACAGTAACAATTACCCGTATGAAATATTCAACCTTCATACACTTCTTTTTAAATTTTTGGGATGATACTGAACAATGTTACCAAGTTGTGTTAAATCTGATAATTTCGTCAAAATCTGTCAAGAATTATGCCTTCTGGAGCTAAACGCTTTTTAAAGAACAAGGGCAATAACTCTTAAAAAAACAATTTTCGATAGGGTTCATCCTGAAATGATATCAATCGCTTACACCAAATTTCGTCAAAATCCATCAAGGGTTGTGTCTACTAGAATACCGGTATTTTCGAGTAATTTTGGACGGACACCAGTTTTCAATTTCAATATCAAGAAATTGATAGAGTGAAATAAGTATTTAATAAATTTGACTGCCAATTACAAAGGATTAATTCCTTCAAACTATTTATAACACAATAGATGCTGATGCCAATTCTTACTCAGTTGGGTCTGTAACAGTTCAACACAGACTTAAGACTCGACAGATAACTCAAATTTAGGTGTTATGTAAGAGTCCTATATACTGTTCATTTTTGTTGCTGGTAGACTCAGAGGATCTTTATGTTACAATGAGTGTAATTCATAGACTCAATTACCATTATAAAGACAAATCATGTGAAACCAAACCCTGGTGCAAACAGCAAAAATGATATTACAAAATTTGTCTTTTGCTTTTGCTTTTACACACGAGATTGTTCCGAAAATTGTTTTCAACATTTTTGGTCGAGAACTTAATATAAGTGGTCGAAGAAATTTTACAACTTTTGCGAGTTCTTTTTACATTTTCGTTTTGTTTCTAATTTTCGGTTTCATCAATGTCCCTTTAAATGGTTGAAATTAACCAGTAAATGGGACAAAGACTGAGACAAAGATAATCTCCGGAATCTATTACGTATGTTAGTATCCATTAGGGTTGTAATTATAAAGCCACTAAGATTGTAGAAAGTAAATTCATGTTTGGGGATTGTGTTGTTTATACCTCGTTTATTCCAAGATAGACTTGCCAAGTAAATTGAAATTACTTAATAGATGTAACAACCTCTTATATCAACTTCCAAACGTCCCAGTGATGCTCTAACTTTGCATGTCGAGGGAATCCGACCTTGGACTATGCCAGGGATGTTATATATATTACTAAAAAAAAACTCGCCAGAATATTACAGGGATTTTATGAAATTTTATTATTAGTTTATTCAATTTTTCTTTAAAGAGTATCCAGTTAATATTTTTTCTCGATACCATCGATTCGATTTCAAAGAATTCTTTTCAATTAACCCAGTTTTGTTTTCTCCTGGGTTGGAAGTTTTTAACTAATAAGTCTGACAATAAAATGATATTTTAGTGCCGTTTCTCTAATAACTACTTGTTTTAAAAATATCGTAAATGACATTGCAGTTGTATCGGCTTTTAATGATTCCTGTTTAATGACTTACTTATTTATGTTTTCTAGACTTCCTCTTTTAAAGAAATGTTAAAATGCTATATAAACCCTACTGTTCTTAAAAACTCCCAGAATGTATTTCATTTCTACGAATTTATGATCAAATTTTATAAAATGCTTTTATTGTTAATTTTGCAGCAATCGACACAACTAAGATCAATTTACTACAATGCATTGTGGATAACGATCAAATAATACATCAAGTTTATATTTTCAAATTTTCAGAGACAAGGGAAGTAATTTTTAAATTGTTGCAACCTGATCAAATTCTTCCATAACCCTAGATTTTCAATTATATGCCAACTTATTCCTTATTTCAACAAAATCGCTTGAAATCTAAACCGTTAGCATTTTCATTATTCCGGATGGTGCTCCCAACTTTCAGAATTTGCTGAGTTTTCAATAAATCTTTGTGGTACGTTTCTTTTATATTTATTTTAGTTACCTTTTATCCATATACCGACAATTCTGTAAGGTTTGGGAAACATATTTGCAACAACCCGAGACTTAAAATCTTGTTTTTGTTTCAACTGAAAAGAGAAATACCACAAAACATTTCATTGGATAAACTGATGGCGTATCTTACAATTGACTTAAATATGTCAAAGCTTATCATGTGAAGCCAAATAAAACAGCCATATAACAGATAATGTTATTGGATTCTTTTGTCGTATCAAAATGATAATGGGTTTAACACAGGAATAATATATAGCAATAACAGAGTTGAATGGGTTTATTTCAGTAGAAAGACTGACCTACAATAATCTGAATTGCGATCTTATTTGGGTTTAGAAAAGGTATTCTGGCAACAGTGTAGTTGTAACAGAGAACGCCATGATATTAGTATTGTCTGCATGCCAGGATGGTAAAAATCTCAATTACCACCATTGTCTGAATTGTTCTTCTTACTAACTCGAAAGGTGATACAGATGGCTGGGAAAGGGTTTTTTATGGAATGATAATCAAAATTGATATGGCACAGTATGTTTTGAACCTGAACCTGATCTTGGCAATAGATTTTTCAAATACATCCCCATCCCCACACTTACTTGATGTATCTAATGTAACCATTATCTGTTTTTCAGCTGATCATCACGATATACAGCGACAGAGTGGAGAAATCAGTCTTTAATTTTACTCAGTATCGATTCAGAGGTTTACTGTCGGTCAACAAGTATATATAACATTTTGCCACTGAACTTATAGTAACGTTTCAAATAAAACATGTTTAAAATGTGGCAAAAAGTGTTGCAAAACTTCAGACTACGCCTTAGTCCTTTTGAGAACGTGGCATTTATTTTCTTGAGAATCTAACCTTATGCAATGTTTTGAAGCGGATTGTGACGGATTAAAATTTGTCATGATTGTGTAGAGTTTCCAAACAAAAATCTACGTTACTGGTTCTCACATGTCGTGTATAACAAAGATTCATCAATTCATCATTGTTAGTGACAATGTGCGTTGTGAAATTATGCTGTGTCCTACTGTGATGTTTAAGAAATGTATGTCAATAACAAAAACGTGAAGAAATGATAAGACAAACACATGTGACGTGAAGAAGTGGTAAGTCAAACACATATTACGTAAATCAGTGATAGGTCTAATGCATGTGACGTGAAGAAGTGATAAGTCAAACACATGTGACGTGGCATTTGGGAATGATATTGATATGATACACATATAATGGATAGGCATACATCAAATTTAATTAGTGTGTGACAGAAAGGTCGACTCTATGCCTACCAAAAGTGATTGTCCATGGTGTACAGCGACGGCAAAGAGTACATGGATCAATTCATGTCAAACATAATATGTGAGAATCACAACAGATATTATCTGTTGTGATTCTGTCAGTAGACGGTAGACCATTGGATGGACCAATCAAATAACAAGGAAGAACTTTTTTAAGGAATGATTTATGCTTGAAACAATGAATATATCAAATGCACAATTTCTAAGTGATGTGGAGATTTTAGACAAAATGAATAATGATAAGGCCAAACTTTTCATTCCAGTCTTCCTATATACTATTATTTTGCTCGTGATCGGAGTAATAGGCAATCCTTTGGCTATTTACATCTATGGTTGGAGATGGGAGCTTACAACGACACGGAATTTTCTTTTATGTTTATCAATAATAGATTTTATCAACTGTCTAACAACGATACCAATTGAAATTGTGATAATTTTAAAATCTTATTTTTTCGACAGCGGTCACCTTTGTAAAATGAGTCGTTTTACAACGTACGTTATGAACAATACAACCCCGATGATTTTAGTCTTTATCGCCGCTGATAGATATATCAGAATTTGTCGTAAGCGTGCAAAGAGAATCGAACCACGCACTGCGTTTTACGCTTGTGGTATGGCAGTTGTTATTGGTATATCAGTTTCCTGGCCATCATTGATATTGTATGGTCGACGAGAAATAATGATTCCACTTCCGGGAAGAAACGTGACAGGAGTTATGTGCCTTGTTGAAAGTCGGTTTAAAGGGACGGTGTATCCGTTTATATTCTTTGTATATTTGTGGGTTGGCGTAACAGTGATAGGTTGTATAATAGTCGTAATGTATACATTTATAGGCAAGGAGGTGTATCGTAGAAAACGGATGAAAAAGGCAAAAATGAAACTTGTGGAAGACACTTTAAAACGCTTACAAGCGAAACGTAGGAGTATGAGCAATACATCTGCATTAACTAGTGGTCCCGATAGATCAGGTGAAGATTTATGCCCTGTAGCCATCAAGTGTGCACCTAATATAAAGCCTGGCCGATCTACTTTGATGCTGTTTGCTATAGCTGTAGTGTATTTATTGAGTTTTTTACCGTTTTTAATAGTAATCACAGTGCGAACTATATGTGGTGAAAATTTCTATAAAAACCTAACCAAGACAGAAGAAGTGATAGTTAATATTTTTATCCGTTCTTATTTATTTAATAATTGTTTTAATCCGGTTGTTTATGGGATGTGTAATATACAGTTTCGGCGTGAAGTTAGATATATATATTACAGAATGACTAAGAGATCGGAAGATGTGGCCTTTCCTCGAACAACCAGTGTTAACATCAACCCTAATTATTAATAATTACAAATTTATACAGATAGTGGATCATGTAAAAATACGCCTTATTTAATAGCCCTATCGAATTACTTTTCACAATAAGAGCTCTGTCTTTCGCTGATCGTGTTATTCAACCTTTAGTTGAAACCTTCGTCCTATGAAATTTCAAGCTGACGCCGTCTTGAGAATTGTTTTACTTTTATTTCCAAGCTTTTGAAGCAAGTCTACAATTTTTTCTTAAATTTTGCACAAAAGTTACCTCCCTTGGAATGTACAATTTGTCTATTAAAATATAGTAACATCTAATGATGTTGTGGGGTTTTTCTTGAATACAAGCACATGGACAGTATTATACAAATTTATGACTGACTATGATATATTATAATATGGTAATTGTAGAATATTGTAGACTTCTAATATTGAGCTCTATGGCCTATTCAATTATATCTCAGGTTGATTTATATTGTTGAGATTTGTGAATTTATGATAAAAATATCCACCACTGACTGCAATGTGAATATTATATGGAATTTGGTTGACAACCGACATATAAATATCAAACGCGTAAACATAATCTCTACTCTCAACACATTCTATACGCATGCAGTTTCGTCTTGCATAATGTCGTTTTGTAGACACTGTATTGTATTGTTTGGAACAGTTCGGTTAGGATAAAGTCATTTTGATTTTATATTTGAACACAAATTCTAAGGTTGCTTCTATAGTCTGTTTTCGGGATTTTGTCAATTTTGATTGACTGAGATAGATAGAAGTTGTTACCTTAAAATTGATACAAAGTTTCAAACTGTATACTACATCTGGTTAATTCTAACAATATTATTTACAATTCTGTAATTAGAACGATAGAGACCAGTAACGAATGAAGTGCTTTCAACACTTAACACATTTTTGTCGAATCAGATATTTAACATGTCGTTTTCATAACTTCGACTTAATTTTTTTTGCTGCAATTAAGTTAAATATGAAATTAGCTGATATTCATACCTCCGTTAACAAGTGTGAATTGTACATAATTTGAGGATTAAATATCTCTATAATTTGCTCCGATGTTATTTGATAAGTGAAGAGAAATATTTAAAATCGATCAATAAAAAGCTTGTCTCATTGCACACTGCAAAGTGTTTCGTTTATTTATGGCAGTTTCCTTGAAGTTTTTCAGCTGCATTCGTCATTGTTAAGCCTTTAAATGCCACGAGTAGCTGCAATTAGATTCCATCAATCGCTTTTAACTACCATTTGGTGGACAGTTTTTCCCTTTTTTTTGTGTTTCCCTGCAGAAATATAATTACGAATGGAATATGAACGGTTTCAATGATGACCTTGTATAATGCACAATATGGTATATAACAACCAATATTCATTTACGATATCGCAAGTAATTAAAACGGAAATAGGCAATATTCTTTCAGACTTCTTGCCGGAAATAAGTTCATTATAAACGGAAGATTGCACTATAGTGATATTCTCTATGGTGTGTACAATACGACGCCTTATCATCGTGGAACTGTTACATCCACTTAAATTAATCTAGGGAGTCAATCTGTATCGTAATAGATGGTTGCGATGAAATTTTCAGCTTTGTAACACTAGAGATATCAGATAACAATGAAATTGTTGATAAAGATACTGGATACATTCGACTGAATGGTTTTATGTCCTGGACACAGGATAATTGGAATAGACTCCGATAGGAAAAATCTCGCTTATATCTACACCCAAGTATTAAAGTTCCAGATAGGAAAATTATTAACTCACAAAAATTGTGATTAACTTATATCGTATTCGTATAATATAGTTATAGCTTTTAATAATTCGAGTTATTGTGAATATAAATGATCCTTTTCTGTCATAAAATTTATTACCACAGACATCAGTACATTCTGGTACTATTCCGTTAATGTAGAAGCCCTACCAGAACATTCCGTGTTCTGTAGCAGATTGGTACAATGTCGATATAAGCCTGATCGGCAGTATAGTTATATAAATCGAATATTTCTATATCGCTCTACATGTCTCTATTGAATAGTGAAAATAATTTGTTATTAAAAACCGAATTATATTGATCATTGATTATAAGTCTCACATAGGTTTTCGTAAAGATATTTGATATCAGCCAGTTTTGGCGCTGAGAATATTTGTGAAATAGTTCGCTGTTTACTTTTCCCCCATATATTCTCAAATATAAGCAAGTACCAATTATCCATTCTCTAAAGAATAATAAATAAAACTATAATCACTATAACGATCGACACTTTATTACATATTCTACACCTTCGTAACACCTGATGAATATTCATATTATAGCATCAAATATAACTTTAATTTGTTGAGGTTGAGGGGTTGGTGTGTGTCATGCTTACGCTTTGGGATCCGCGGTGGTTCCGAGAGTTAGACACTTGCCAGCTAACATGACCGGTACCATTTTTTTTCAATCCCTTTTCGTGATGCTTGTCGGAGAGGCTGGTAAGACAGGCATGGAAAAGCATCTTCGGATGGGACAATAAATTACATTGTTATAATAAAAAGTACCCTGACTACATAAACCTTATTAACAAGTCAAATTCGTTCTATTGAGTCTTACCTAGTATATTACTCTATTCATCACTTACTCATGGCAAACTGCTAGTCTATCCCTTACCATCGCATGTTTATCTTCGCAAGATATTCCAGTTCCTTATATTAGCCTCCATCGACCATGGTCGCTGAGGGTCCATGCTGACTGTCGAGACTTCGATGAGCAAAACTTCCAACAAACATATTTCATTTCATTCTTCTTTCTTTCTCCGATTCTCAAAGTTAATCTTTGTTCAAATTCGGTGGGTTCGTTTTGCCGCATTGCCCAACTTGCCGCATCGTGTCCAACTGCACAAAAACGACTTGTAAAACGAAACTAATGGTTTATGTAAAATCCTGAATGGCCATTTTTTTCACATGAAACGAAATATTTCAATCTGTTGTCCCGCATCGATTTTCTTTTTATTTATTATTTGGACCTGTTATAGGGAAATCGAAACTATAGTTTCAAGACTTTCGTACAATGCCTTTTTACAGAGGCATACTTTTCGCTATTATGGTGACAATACTGAGTTTTTAAAATATAACCTCACCGATGACGGTTTTAGATTCCGCAATACTTATTTTCCTGTGGATCCATCCGATGTCTGAACTGTCATTTTTTCTAAACAATCGCAGGTTGGTCTATTTTTGTCTCCAACTGCCACCAGGACATTCTGGGACTTATCTGGCTTGGGGGTTGAGCCACTGTCGAGAATTCTAAACTTCTCCTCGCTTGATAATTCAGAACATTTTTACTTTCAGACATTTCAGTGGCCATTTTTTCTAGCACGTGGGTGGCGTTATAGGCACGCAGTAGAGGGACATAACTCTTGCAAGTTATGACCAATATTATATTTATTGTTCGTTTTATGGATTTATGTATTTTGTATTACGGTTCTGATTGTTTGTGTGGTAGCCGCGGTGGCTCAGTGAGTTAGACGCTTGCTCGCTAACCTGAAGGTCCTGCAGAAAAGTAGGACGTAAAACTCCATTCATTTCATTTCATTTTTAACCTGAAGGTCCAGGGTTCAATCCCGGCATAGGTCGAGATAATACCTTCGGGTATTTCAACCCGGTTTCCCCCTGTCAGTGATGCAGGTTAGAGGGGCTGACATGGAAAAAGCGTCTAGTCGTTCGGATGGGACAATCAACCGAGGCTACAGGCTGTGCACGTTAAAGATCCCTCGACAGTTGGAAATCGAAAAAGAGCAGGCTAATGCCGCTGTCCTGGTAAAATTTCCCTCAACGCACCCTGCATGGTGTTGCCCGTCTTCATTATCCCACATGGTGCAGAAAAGTAAGTAAAAAAGTAAAAATCCATTCATTTCATTTCATTTTCTGATCGTTTGTACTTGGTATTTATTTTATTCCAGATTTTACCATTTTTTAACTATAGTTTCGATTTCCCTAACAGGTCCAAATTATAAATAAAACAGATTAAAATATTCCGTTTCATGTGAAAAAACTGGCCATTCCGCATTTTATCAGAAACATTTAGTTTCGTTTTACAAGTCGTTTTTGTGCAGTTGGGCACGATGCGGCATGTTGGGCAATGCGGCAAAACGAACACACCGGTTCAAATTATGTATTTATAGTCTTTGTTTGTAGACGGACAGAATCCCTGGTGATGACGACCCCTGTCACTAATTAATAGTGGTATATATTAAACTATTTTATAATAATATTCATTTATACATTCTTTATTTTTGTAAATTTTAAATTGGTGAGGGATTAGCATAAGCCTCGGCTTGTTTTCGTAACCTTACTTATATTTGTAAACATATTATGTACAATGAATAAAATATCGTTTAAAAAAAAAAGTCAAATGATCCTTTGAATATATATAATGTACGTATGGAAATGGTTATAATAACACATAAAACGAATCAAAGAGATCAACATCTAACAGAAACTAAATGATGTTTGAGATCAATCAAGATGTAAACACATAATGAACATATAATGTTCGAACGATATAGTTGCTGAGGAATTAACGTCTACATTGAGTTATGACGCATCCGATTGGTATATTCAATTACAGTAACTTCAAAACCAAACCGAAAATGAAACATGTACTGAAGAGGTATAGAGTTCTATATGTCTTCTCGGTAACTGTTTTGAGTTTCAATAATCAGTGCACCGTTTACAAATACCTAAGCGCTGTGTAATAATATAACACATTTAATGTTCTAATGGCCATCTATATATTCATTCTAGTTTGAATGCATCCTTTGAAGGCTCTCCAATTCATTTCCACTATCTAACAAGAATTTGACATTAGGATTCCGTTCTTAATAACGCCGAAGAGAGCCAGCCCCAGCAAAGGCCCCTTTTTCGACCCAAGCGCCTGCCTGTGTTGACGAACTTTTATATACAACAACGTGTCTACGTATTGCTATTAAGTTTGGTTCATTGTTCACTCTTGTCATGTAAACTACTACCACCAACTTTACTTGAACCTCCTGATTTCTCTTTCTTTTTAAAGCAGCACGTGAATACCTTCTTTACCTCCTTCCTAAATTGAGAATTACACAAACCATACACTATAGGATTGGCACAATTGTTAATTAGGTACGACCGGACAAATATATTTACCAGAATCTCTCTATGTGGTGAAAGTTGTTGATAAAAATCTTCCCCAATGGCTGTTCGTATAGTCACGACAATCAAAAAGGGTAGAAAACTCAAAACATACATCACAGTAATGGCAAATAACATAACCGTAGATCTCCCACCTCGAATCTTAGACTTGCTGAATACGGCATTAGCTATTGATTTACCCCGCGGAAAGGTAAAGCGTTTATTTCCTACAGATGGTGTTGTTGAAAGGGGAGAGTTCGCTGAAGTTGGGTTAGGTGACATTGGTGGAGTGGCAGAACCAGTAGACGATTTATCCGCATTCTCTGCACATTCTCTATTCAACATTGCTTGGGCTCGTGTCTGGAGTGTCGGCGTTGTGGGTAGAAAGACCTCGCGCTCTGTACTAGCGGAAGCATTCCGATATTTTTTCATGATAGCTTCTGTTGACTGATTTCTCTCGCGTCTCAGTCGTTTTCGTTTTAAGATTTCCCTTCCTATCAGAATATACATTGTAATAATGATAGTCGATGTCACGGTCACTCCAACCCATAAATATATAAAGAAGGCAAAAGGATAAGGCGTATGAATATACTCATTTTCTACAAGACACATCACACCGCGCACGATTCTTCCACCATGCCATGGTAAAGGAACTTCCTCTCTGCCGTACAGAACCAATCCTGGCCACGACACAGCAACACCGATTAACATGGCTACGCCACAACTAATTATAGCACCGAATGGAGACATGGGTTGTTTGTGAGGTCGACAAATACGGATGTAACGATCTACGGCTACGACTACCAGTATAAAAGACGTCGTGTTGTTCATGACGTACGTTACAAACCGCGACATTCGGCACACATGCGCATTGTCGAAGAAATAAAAATTTGACATAACAGCAACCTCTGTGGGCATAGTTATCAAACAATTCACTAAATCCACAACAGCTATGCATAAAAGGAAATTTCTTGTTGTTGTCTTCTGCCATCGCCAACCATAGATATAGATAGCTATTGGATTTCCCAATAAACCAATGACCATCAGAATAATAGTGTACGCTATAGCCGGTGTTAACAAGACAGTTTTCTTCCCATTGAGCCAATGTATAATATCCATATCACTAAGGTGATCATAACTAGTGTTGCCAGAAGAGTTCATCTTGAATTCTGGATTAAATTGCTACTTTCTGAAAAGATGTAAAATAATGTACGATTAAAATTAATTGATTTTTTTTTATTCCTTTAACACGGTATGGCGTCTCAAATGAATATCTTAAGTTCAATTGCCAATTTCAACTCTAGATAGTTCAAAAGTTATCTTGTTCCGTAAATCAAAACCGAAATATGTGATTAATACGAATGATCATGAATTATCCAGCACTGATAAAAAAAAATACTAATTGTAGTGCCAACTGCAATGTGCTACGAGATTGTATTCGCAACGTTCGAGTAGAAAATAAAATAAATAGGTTACTATAATAGGTTACTATCTGAGAAAAGTTGATGTCGCTGTTTAAATAAATGAAATATTTACTATGGATAGATACTTATAGAATAGTATTAATACTGACAATGTTTCAATATATTTCTCAGAATCTCCTCAGGAATATGATGAGAAAAAAAACATTGAAACTTTGGCAGTAATAAAAATTCGTTCATTATTCCTGATGACAGAACCAACATTGTCTACTACCAAATCTGATTATTTCATGGCAATAAAATAAGATAAAGGCGAAGAACCACATTGACAACCAATATCACATCAAAATGAAACTAGTTAACATACTGCTTCATGAAGTAACCTTCGGCTGTTTGGGTAATTGCATGAATATTACACAGATTAGCAGAAGGAAATTAACTCTAACCCTGCTGGCGAAAAGCCACTTTTATCTTTTTGATTTCTGGTCTATGAATATGTAAAGATGTAGACGAGAAACCCGTCCACTAAATTCAAGACCAATCAACAAATTGGCACCACACGTAATTCACATTTTGGTTTAAAGAAACTCCCTCTTCGCGTCTTCCTACTTCCAATCATATCTAATGCAAGATTATTGGAGCAAAATTATTACCAAAAACTTTAAAGAAGACCTCCCCCTGAAATCGATTGTGCTGTAATTGGTGATGAAAGTGGTATAGTTGTATTTTGAATTGTTGTATTTGACATAAATATTGTCAATAATTATTAAAACGATTACCGGTAACAAGAGAAAATCATGACTGCATCGAATAATACTACTAAACCCCTTTGGGTATAAAATGGCGTCTACTGTTAACAGGGACGTTATAGTGGTAATGCTTAGAAATGCAAGAAATGGATTAATAAAGTACACGAAATACGCATCGGAAGATCATTCAGTTATGTTCATATTTTATAATGATGAACATTCTAGTTCCGTCAACTGTGACATGACGGAAAATAACTTTTCTCGGCAGTGCGATAGGGGCTATCCAGAGAGAATTGCAGTGTGAAAGCAAACCGATTCGGTTATAACATAATTCAATAATCCAGTTGTGTAGTGCGAAAGTTCATTCAGCATGACAACATTGTCGCGTATTTTCTCCAGCAAGTTTCGGGACAGCGAATCTATCCTTCTTCAAGCTTGCATATGTACTAGTCTGATGGGAGAAAAAGAAAACTCTTACCGAAACATTGAATATCCCTATACTTCTCCGTCCTATCAACAATACTAACGAAATATTGTATAACAATACTATCGTGGTACTTGACTTAGAAATTATCACTTTATTTCCGAATCGATAAAATTGTTTGTCATAATGTTACTCAATTTCGGCTACACCTTTCAATGTAGACATCCGCTTTGACATCCGTATCGTCGTATTGCAACGAAATAAATCGGTTGAAGAGATCTAGTCAGTTATTAATTTCAAACCAGCAAATAGAAGGATAAAACGTCTATATTATGATACGTTTGCTTCACCACAAGTAACAGCTACATGTAGCTCAGTATTACACTCAAAGGTCGGACTTTGTACCCCTACTTTCAGCACCTCTATGGTACTCTAAAAACTACAATCCAAGTTCCAGATAAGAACGACTGTATATGTCTTTACTTCATCACTACTTCATCACTACTTCCCAGCCCCCACGGAATGAAATAAAGCTCCAATTAGTCGTTCGAACTTTGTGCAATCATGGTTATGCATTTCTTATTTAACAAGGAGGCTGAAAAGAAAAAGAATCACCTGACCGTTATAAGAATTAATTGAAATTAAAATCTCAACATCAGCATTGAAACAGGTCGGAACAAAATTTTATTATAAATATCCGCACTATTCCAACTTTCCTTCTATTAGAGTAAATTTTGTCTAAAAACATTTTACGTGGGAGTTTACAAATATTTATTTAATTTGTGGCATTAACTTAATTACCTCTATGTTATATAATATAATAGTCGTTATATTAGTTATTCTTCGTCACACGTACAAATACACCCCCCCCCCCCCCTCCTCCTCCTCCTCCTCCTCTTATTTGACCAATAAGCAATCGCTAGATATGAGTTGCTAGGTTAAGAGTAGGATATTAAAAACTACCCCTAATAGACAAATGACTAAACCCTGTAACCGTATAGCCTACCTGTGAAACTACATTGAAACTACAGTCAACATATTTTCCCAGGAGATATCAATGTTTGTTACAGTTGTAACATTATAATTAGTTTAAACTAGTTCTACCAATTAAACACAAATACATCAGTTTTACTTTGGAACATCGTGATATCTAAAAGATGAATTGAAAAGAAACGCGTTAATTACACGAAACTGGCTCTAAAATACAGTATGAAATATTAAAATGGACGCATACAGTATGAAATATTAAAATGGACGCTAATGAATTGAGATAAATCATCTTTTACCAATAAAAAATATGCAAGTTTTTGACTCATAACTACTTAAGAATTCTCTTTATATTCTTCTATAGCAAACCGTATCCACCAATTTGACCTAAAGTATAGGGCGTAAAACTCTATTCATTTAATTTGACCAAGCAAACAAGAAATGCCTAAAATAGTTTTAAAGTACGTGGGATGTTTTTGCTGTTTTTTTTTGTTTTTTTTTTTTGCTCGAATCAATTTTTTTTTGTCTTCGCTCTAAAAGAGAAAACGTCCGATTTCAAAAGCTAATAATTGCAATGTAAACTGATTTATTCAACTGAAGGAAAGATGTGTTCTATTGTATCCCTCTAAGGTTGCAGTTAAAAATATATTATGTATCATTTAAGAGCATTTGTCTAAATACTAATATTTCTACTAAAAAAATAAACAAAAATAATGGATAATAAATATTTAACTGTTTTGCTAATATTATATTAAGGAATCTAGTGGAATGTAAACGTAAAATATATAATGTATATTAAAGGTACATGTACTACCTCTTATAGGATGACCAAAAAATTGAAATTTTCAAACGTGGTTAAAATGAATCTTTGTTTATCAGTGGACTTACCTGGTGTCAAAACTATACAACAGAATACCTCTACAATCCAATAAATCCATAAAACTAAGTAATAATCCATTAAACAAGTAAATTTGAAACAGGCTTACAAGCGTGTAACTGATGGATATATACACTTGTTGACCAAGTTGAGACATTACATTTCATGTCCATTTTAAAGAACGACATATATCATTATTGGTTACTTTACTTAAGAAAACTGTTATTTAAACTCACATATTCTGTTTTAGAAAGATTGAGTATCATAATATATTATGTCAAATATATGCACATGCTGAATATTATCTCTTACCACTACTTGAACAGACTTTCTATACATCTTTTAATTATACGGCAGTAAGTCAAGATCGCTGTTAAAATATTTGTAATCTATACCACGAGTTAACCAAAATGATGGTGGCATAAAGCCAAAATGAGATATTTTACAATTTTTTTTATATTCTGGTCATTATATTATAACATCTGTGAGACTGAAATATAATGATAAGGATATTTACGTCATTATTATCTGCTTCTGAGGTAATGGTAATGCAGACTAGTAAAGCTATGGGTATGGGGAATCAGGACCGGTCGGACCGTTACCGTTTCGGCCCACTAGTTACACTACCAACTCGGATCGTTACTGTGTCGGACCTATACCGATTCGGCCCACTATTTTTTATTTTAATCGGACCAAGTCTTGATTAACAATACTCAACCAATTATTAGGTATTAATTATCACTTTGATGTGAATTGTTCAATGAGATTAGTTAAGGGATTAGACGATTTGCATTCAACAGTTCAAAGTTGAAAGATTTAACTGTGGTACCGTTCCAGTGTCAGAACTGTACGACTCCTGTACCCTCAGCCGAGAGTATTCCTGTACCCTCAGCCGAGAGTACAAGACTATCGTTGCCTTTAGTGCCCATTCCCGATATCAAAGCAAGCAGAAGGTGAAATGAGTACCAGCCAACTATTAAAGAAGTGTGGTGCCATCTTCGCCCCAAATAATTAAACGGCCCTTTTCAGGGACATCTAAACATTGAAAATAAAGTTTAATATATATAAAACACGGTCATTAAAATGGCCGCCAGATGCATTGTCTTTTAACATTGTTCTGAGTCCTAGTGAGAGTTGTCCTTACCATTTTACTTTCAATTTGTTTACAAAAGTGGTCTGAGTCGGTAAGGCATTGGTCCAAATTTATAAAAAATGTGATCCGAGTCTGTCGTAAAAATTACTTCGAGTCACTAAGGTATTGGTCCAAGTCTAGTGGGCCGAGTCGGTAGTGAGAAAAAAAACCTTGGTCCGAGTCGGTAGTGAGAAAAATATCATTGGTCCGAGTTGGTTATAAACATTTTTTTTTAGGTCCGAACCAGTAATGGTCCGACACGGTAATGGTCCGACCGGTCATACATTCGGGTATGGGAGGTGCAATAAGAAAACTTTGACAAGGAAAGCGACAATAGCCAACACTTTTCGGTTTCGAGTTTTTGAGATTCCGGAATATTTTTGTTTTTTATTGTATCAAAAAATATAATTCAATCCTTATTGTTTTTTGTAATACACTGTATCAAAACGTGGCCTGTTCCTAACAAGATGAAAATATACTCATAAAATAAAATAAAAATACACACCTACCTTTTCTACTCTGAAGACTAAAATGTACAATGAAACAACAGTACTGAAACATCCACTACAGTCTACACTGTCTTTATTAAAGATGCCGTATGCATGCATGAAAATCAACCTAAACAGCCTGTTAAACTATTGAAGTTTCTCGGGCTATGTAACATTATGTTTATTACTTTTACACGATACATCAATTTGTTAATATATTATAACCATAGTAGGTTAAATGAGTACTTAAATAGACCAGCGTCTTTAATTAGACTGAAGTATAATATCAGTCTTTACACAATGAAATATCACAAAGCTGTTGAATGTCATAGACCCATTCTCCATCTGAAAGCCTTTATTAAAAGTTACCGAATCATGTAAATGTAAAATGTACCACAAATCAACTTCTTGAAGCTGGATGGCAGTCTCAATTGTTAACAATAAAAAAGGATAAAAATCATCTTTTAGGAAAACATTTAACCGTTGCTTTTAACAAGATGAATTAAATATGTTCTGAATATATTCAAGGGCAGATAATTATACTCTTGCTCTTCAACTCACGAAGTCAAAATCTGACAAGTGATAAATTGGAAGTAGCGTTACGAAAATTGAATGAATCAGCTCTGAATGCGAAGAAAATTCTGTCATAATGATTTGTTTTTCTGAGATGAAGAAATTACAAGAAGAAGAGAAAGTTCTGATAGCTCTCACATCAAAACTCAGTGATCAACTGACACGATTAAAGGTAGACGAACTCCGCTTCCATTCGGACACATTGAATTGATAAAAAAGTCAGTCTCGTCCTACCTAGCAATAAATTGGTGTTGCAGCTGGGACTCAGATTTGGTACTCGGAAAATTCGAAGAATTAAAGGCCCAAAGAACTCATTTCTGACAAGTTTGCGATCATATCAAAATCTATATCTTTTTGATATATCTAAATGAATCATTTTTTATCGATCTCTGCTGAACTTAAGAAGGTTTTGCTGGGGCTTAATTCTCACCATGCCCCCACGGATGGGGCTGAGAAGAGTTAGCTCTAGTGAGTATGGTCTATTTATAGTTAAGGCTGCAACGTTTAGCACTTTCTGTAAACATATGCACGAAAGTTATTAATCGAAACGGTACCATTTAAACGAATTTTCAATAGACTTGTCATTTGACCTATTTATTCATTTCAATTCAATTTGGTTATACAGTGTCAAAGTCGGCAATACTAAAATTACTTCAAGGCTGAAATGCAAAAGTAAAACATCACGTTATTATGAAAATAGTGTAGTCATACAGTCAAGTAACATAATTTCGTGGAAACCTATTATTTGTGGATTTCCGAAAAGGATTAATAATTTACATGAGCGACCTTGCGCGACCTCCGCATTAGTTTGTTTTGATAAACATGGGTTTTCTGTACAATATTAGCTAGTAGAATGAATCCAGTAGTTTCAAGCAAGGTAAAATGTATTAATCTATACTTTGACAAATACAAAATGGCAGATTTCAGTTATTACCAAACGTCACCATTTTTTATCGGCCGAATTTCCTTATAATCCCAAGCGGTAATCGGAATTCCAAGTGTCGTCTGCTAGAATGTAGTCCAACGAATGAAGTCACGTGATCAACTAGCGGATTCCGTGTCAGCAGAAAATTTCTATGGAACACAAAGTCGACCATATTCTTATGTTATTTCAGTGACTTTTAGAAATAAATTTTGTCAGTCACTATTTTTTTTTAAAATCGTGGTTCTTTGAAGGAATTGTCACTAGTTATAATGAATTGATATTAAAGATAAATACTAAGAGAAGGTAATTATACCACCCGGTATCCATACAACGTATTTTTCTAGACTTATTTATAGATTAAACATTGTACACGAAAATAGGTGACGCATTCTGCCGCCGTTGCCGAGTTGGTTGCTCATGAAATATGGGTCATAGTGAAGGATTCATAAAGAAAATCGAAACAAACCAATTTTAATTATTTTGTAGAATATCTGAGGAATAAGACATAAAAAAAAAAATTTCGTTTTTTTAACTTTGACGAAATTCAGTGTTGAATCCTTATATCCATGAAAATAGGTTACACCACTGCAGTTATATTGTATGACATATATGTATGATAATATTTTGACTCAGGCCGTCGGGCAGTGTTTTCTGCCATACTGTTTTTTTACGTCTCGTGACAGCTTATTGGCCGAAATAAATGAAAAGTGGCACTAGCCTAAACGTTTTCGTTTACACTTTTAACCATTGCAGCCTTATTTATAGGTAGAAGAGATAGCTCTAGTGAGTTTTGTCTATTTATAGGTAGAAGAGATAGCTCTAGTGAGTTTTGTCTATTTATAGGTAGAGGAGATAGCTCTAGTGAGTTTTGTCTATTTATAGGTAGAAGAGTTAGCTCTAGTGAATTTTGTCTATTTATAGGTAGAGGAGTTAGCTCTAATGAGTTTTGTCTATTTATAGGTAGAAGAGTTAGCTCTAGTGAGTTTTGTCTATTTATAGGTAGAGGAGTTAGCTTTAGTGAGTTTTGTCTATTTATAGGTAGAGGAGTTAGCTCTAGTGAGTTTTGTCTATTTATAGGTAGGGGAGTTAGCTCTAGTGAGTTTTGTCTATTTATAGGTAGAAGAGTTAGCTCTAATGAGTTTTGTCTATTTATAGGTAGAAGAGTTGGCTCTAGTGAGTTTTGTCTATTTATAGGTAGAAGAGTTAGCTCTAGTGAGTTTTGTCTATTTATAGGTAGAGGAGTTAGCTCTAGTGAGTTTTGTCTATTTATAGGTAGAAGAGTTAGCTCTAGTGAGTTTTGTCTATTTATAGGTAGAAGAATAAGCTCTAGTGAGTATGTTCTATTTTATAGGTAGAATAGTTAGCTCTAGTGAGTATGTTCTATTTTTACAGGCATGGGAGTTAGCTCTTGTGAGTATGTTCTATTTTATAGGTAGAGGAGTAAGCTCTAGTGAGTATGTTCTATGTTTACAGGTAGAAGAGTTAGCTCTAGTCAGTATGTTCTAGTTTTACAGACAGAGGAGTTAGCTCTAGTCAGTATGCTCTAGTTTTGCAGACAGAGGAGTTAGCTCTTGTTAGTATGTTCTATTTTATAGGTAGAGGGGTTAACTCTTGTGAGTATGTTCTATTTTATAGGTAGAGGAGTAAGCTCTAGTGAGTATGTTCTATTTTATAGGTAGAGGAGTTAGCTTTAGTGAGCATGTTCTATTTTTACGGATAGAAGAGTTAGCTCTTGTGAGCATGTTCTATTTATAGGTAGGTGAGTACGCTCTTGTGAGTATGTTCTATTTTATAGGTAGAGGAGTTAGCTTTAGTGAGTATGTTCTATATTTACAGATAGAAGAGTAAGCTCTAGTGAGTATGTTTCATTTTATAGGTAGAGAAGTTAGCTCTTGTGAGTATGGTCTATTTATAGGTAGAATAGTTAGCTCTAGTGAGTATGGTCTATTTTTAGGTTGAATAGTTAGCTCTTGTGAGTATGGTCTATTTTTAGGTTGAAGAGTTAGCTCCAGTGAGTATGGTCTATTTATAGGTAGAAGAGATAGCTCTAGTGAGCTTTGTCTATTTATAGGTAGAGGAGTTAGCTCTAGTGAGTTTTGTCTATTTATAGGTAGAGGAGATAGCTCTAGTGAGTTTTGTCTATTTATAGGTAGAAGAGTTAGCTCTAGTGAATTTTGTCTATTTATAGGTAGAGGAGTTAGCTCTAATGAGTTTTGTCTATTTATAGGTAGAAGAGTTAGCTCTAGTGAGTTTTGTCTATTTATAGGTAGAGGAGTTAGCTTTAGTGAGTTTTGTCTATTTATAGGTAGAGGAGTTAGCTCTAGTGAGTTTTGTCTATTTATAGGTAGGGGAGTTAGCTCTAGTGAGTTTTGTCTATTTATAGGTAGAAGAGTTAGCTCTAATGAGTTTTGTCTATTTATAGGTAGAAGAGTTGGCTCTAGTGAGTTTTGTCTATTTATAGGTAGAAGAGTTAGCTCTAGTGAGTTTTGTCTATTTATAGGTAGAGGAGTTAGCTCTAGTGAGTTTTGTCTATTTATAGGTAGAAGAGTTAGCTCTAGTGAGTTTTGTCTATTTATAGGTAGAAGAATAAGCTCTAGTGAGTATGTTCTATTTTATAGGTAGAATAGTTAGCTCTAGTGAGTATGTTCTATTTTTACAGGCATGGGAGTTAGCTCTTGTGAGTATGTTCTATTTTATAGGTAGAGGAGTAAGCTCTAGTGAGTATGTTCTATGTTTACAGGTAGAAGAGTTAGCTCTAGTCAGTATGTTCTAGTTTTACAGACAGAGGAGTTAGTTCTAGTCAGTATGCTCTAGTTTTGCAGACAGAGGAGTTAGCTCTTGTTAGTATGTTCTATTTTATAGGTAGAGGGGTTAACTCTTGTGAGTATGTTCTATTTTATAGGTAGAGGAGTAAGCTCTAGTGAGTATGTTCTATTTTATAGGTAGAGGAGTTAGCTTTAGTGAGCATGTTCTATTTTTACGGATAGAAGAGTTAGCTCTTGTGAGCATGTTCTATTTATAGGTAGGTGAGTACGCTCTTGTGAGTATGTTCTATTTTATAGGTAGAGGAGTTAGCTTTAGTGAGTATGTTCTATATTTACAGATAGAAGAGTAAGCTCTAGTGAGTATGTTTCATTTTATAGGTAGAGAAGTTAGCTCTTGTGAGTATGGTCTATTTATAGGTAGAATAGTTAGCTCTAGTGAGTATGGTCTATTTTTAGGTTGAATAGTTAGCTCTTGTGAGTATGGTCTATTTTTAGGTTGAAGAGTTAGCTCCAGTGAGTATGGTCTATTTATAGGTAGAAGAGATAGCTCTAGTGAGCTTTGTCTATTTATAGGTAGAGGAGTTAGCTCTAGTGAGTTTTGTCTATTTATAGGTAGAGGAGATAGCTCTAGTGAGTTTTGTCTATTTATGGGTAGAAGAGTTAGCTCTAGTGAGTTTTGTCTATTTATAGGTAGAAGAGATAGCTCTAGTGAATTTTGTCTATTTATAGGTGGAAGAGTTAGCTCTAGTGAGCATGTTCTATTTTCATAGGTAGAAGAGTTAGCTCTTGTGGGTATGTTCTATTTTATAGGTAGAGGAGTTAGCTCTAGTGAGTATGTTCTATTTTATAGGTAGAAGAGTTAGCTCTTGTGAGTATGTTCTGTTTTCATAGGTAGAAGAGTTAGCTCTAGTGAGTATGTTCTATTTTCATAGGTAGAACAGTTAGCTCTTGTGGGTATGTTCTATTTTATAGGTAGAGGAGTTAGCTCTAGTGAGTATGTTCTATTTTCATAGGTAGAAGAGTTAGCTCTAGTGAGTATGTTAGGGAAACAAGAAGAAGATGATTTTGAGGAATCAGTGAACAGTATTGAAACAAGCTCATGTAATATGGATGATATTATGGTAAGAGATATAAATTTATTATTTGAACAGAGTGGTTGTACGTTCATCTACTTTTCCCAGTTTCCCCTTATTGGTAATGCTCATCAAAGCGCTGACATGAAAAAAACCTCTAATTATTCCAAAGAGACAAAAAACCAATGCCTTGTCGTATTGATTGTCAAATTAAATTTCTGTTTTAACGGATAATCATTGTTTGATATTTTAATTTACAGAAATCAGAAAAACAAGAAGAAATAGATTTATCAATACAAGATCCTTTTAGCCAAGGTGAGTACGGTATATATCTATTGATATGATTACTTGAAATTACTTGAGAACAAGATGTGATATTTTATCTTCTGTATGCAGCTATGTGTCATTGGTTAAGGTATATGAAAGGAATTTTTGAGTCTATGTATGTGCATTGAATACACTTATAGCTAGTATTTGTTCCATTCAATTCTGATGTCTGTGGCTCCCTAAATTTAGAAAAAGTTGCCTTCTGTTATTTGATGTCATAATCTGGTGAAGTACCGGTATCTCAGAACTACAGTGTCTCCAATCTAATCACTGTCACATTTATTTCTCAGATAAAGCTATTTTTATTCTGTTTAGAACCTTATGAAACCTATATTTAAAGACAAAATCTGTTGACAACTGCTTTTTAGATTACCACTGTTTCATCTTACTTGCTTGTGTGCTACAGACTGCACATTAAAGATCCCTTAACAGTAGTTGGAAATCGAAAGTGTCAAATTTTCCTCATTGCAAGAGGTTGCCCTTTTTCATTAGGCCAGTAAGTGCAAAAAAGTAGAATGTAAATTAAGCTCCATTCATTTCAATTTCATCTTACTGAATCTTTTTATTGATACCACATTGGAAGAGTTACAATCTGAGTAATGATGTTTTAATTCTAAGTTTTTGATGAAGAGGAAGAAGAGGAGGAAGAAGGGGAGCAAGATGATGATGATGATGATGATGATGATGATGATGATGACAATAATCAGTTGAAGTCGTTTTTAAGAGAACTGTCTGACAAGCAGAAAAAGATGTAGTGATATAACTGAGATTGCTGGGATGACTAGACAATGTATTGTTTGTGGAATTTCAATATCTGCAAGGGTTTATAAGTGTAGATTTTTCCTTCTGAATGTCAGGACTGTCCTTCTTGATTTGTGCTTCAGAGACAGAAGAATTGTATATGGTTGATGTAACTATGCTGTGACTAATAACGTCTATTATACTCAGGATCAGTGCTAGATCAAACTGATTTTAAACCATTGTCTGAAGAATTCTTTATTAAACAGACAAGCATGACATTCAAAAATACAATAAAATGCTAATGGCATGTCTGACAAAGAACTGTAAGAGATAGATGAAATTTGCTGACATGGTTTGAATATAGGACTGATATCAGGCAGAAAAATCATTGAACAGGAAGGAGAGAAATGTGTTTTTTTTTACAATTCCAATGAATAAATCAGACATTGAAAATAGATTTAATGTGTTCTTAATTGGACTATGTTTCATTTCCTTAAATAATTCAAATCTGAAAATGGGGAGCTTGTCCATGATCTTATAAAGGTGGTTTGCATGATGCACAACTTTTAACAGTTGTTAGAGTGGGCTGTCCTACCAATTGTCTTACTCAAGTCATACAACGGCTAAGCTGATTTCTCCTATTAGCTGAAATATTTCTGAAACTAAGATACAATTGGTCAAACGAATGGAGAACCTTCTGTTCTATTAAATTGTCTAGAGACCTTGAAATAATTAAGAAATACATGAAATCAATCCTTAAAATTTAAAATCAAGAAAAAGTCTTTATAACGTTATAAAATTCTTGCAAACACTCAAAACATGTCTAATTGGTACTTAGAGAGTAATAGGCGATGTGTGGTCTGAAATAAGGATAATTAACTGTAGTCTTAGTTTCCTCATCAAAAAGAGTTTTTTCCCTTCAACCATTATTATTGATCTAGTGACCTACTTTATTTACCCAACTCATTTCTCACGATTGTCCAGTCCCATTGTTGACTTAAAAATAAATATAACTTCTTATTAACGGAGACTACGAAGAAATAAAATAGGTCAAACTGACATAGAACAGTTGGGTCAAATTAATTACATAACAAATTTAATCTAACGCGCCGTCTGATTAAACTTTCAGTCTAGTCAGCTAGTCTTGACTTTGGAAAGTCCTGGACATTTAGTTTGGTTTGCGTCCATCAGATATAGGAAAAATTGTAAAAAGATTATCTGAAAGTAGGACTATTTTATGTGTACTCTGAATTGCGGAAGAATAAAATGAGTGATAAACAGTGTGTAGTTTTCACGTCAACAACAAATCTACAACAAAATTTTAGCAATTTTACAAATTTCAGCCAAATTTAAATTTGATATTGGAGTGAATTTTACCAGAAAGTTGTGTTTAAGGTAGGTGCATTCGGGTTTTATAACATTTGTTGTGAAATATGGTTACATATTGTGGTAAAATGTGAGTAAAGTCCAGTTGGGATCCAGCCATGCGATGCCCCATTTAATTTTTGGTCTGATTAACCCAAGACCATGGTCTGTTTGAGTGACCACTAGCTGACCGTCACTGGCCTAATTTCTGTGGATGGTTGGGATGGACCTACAGTCTGTACATTAAGACCCATCACTCGCCTCCCTTGAGCTGCTCAATTTATTTAGAAAGTTCCACAATTTAATTGTAGGGTAGGCCTATATTGAGTTTGAGCAAATTCTAAAAAATTCTTCATTTATCATATCAACTTCCAAAAGAATTTCATTGCTTGCAAAATTTCATTATGTTTTATACCTGATCAGAAAACAAAATCAGTGAATTTCCCGCAGGCTCAGATTAACTATCCAAATGTATGTATGCAGTCTGATCTTGATGTTTCAGAGCCAATGTAATCTGATGACTCATTTTCCAATTATTGTAGAGAAAGTGCTTTAACAGCTGTCCAATTTGTTTTATAATAATTAGCTGTTTGGATGCTGTGTTTATTGACTATAGATTTGTCTTTGATTTCATTAAATTAAAATAAAAATCTCTGGAGTTTCTAAATTCTGTAAACAAAGAAATTAGTTTTCAGCAAGAATGCTGCAAAGTTGATATTTGAGTAGACTATCAGATTGTTGCTCATCTTGACACATATGTCTCAGCTCCAAAATTATAATAATTGTTAAAAAATACCTAGGCTTTTTTTTTTTTGGTTACAGATATTTCATTTAAAAAAAAAACCTGTATAGTTTTTTTGATTATATATCGTAATATCGCCCAACTCTAATCTGCACCATGCATCATATCACCTCCAAAAATTTCACAAAAAAGACCACAATTTTGTAGACATGTGATGGAAGTGGCAACCTTGAATAAGCCGTATTTCCTCAGGCTTTTGCAATTTAACCTCATAGGTATGGGCAATTGTCGTAGAATCAATTGGTGTAAAGGACAGATCTATGGGAAACATGTTCAGCTAATAATTTTTAAGCCTAATTCATTCTGTAATTCAGTAGCTTGCAAATTTTTTTTATCATTATAGAATCTCACCATGAAGTTTGAGACATATTATGTGAATTTAAAACAATGTGTTACATTAAAAAGAAGTTGCTTACAATCTTACAAGCTTTGGAGCTTTATTTAGGAAACCAGTATGTGTATTAAATTTTATACTGAACAAAATTTTTAGAAAATTTATTTTAGAAAGGTGTAATTTAAGATCATTTTGT